CCCCCCTGGTGATATTTGCTCCTTCGTTTCTATCAAACATGCTATGCCCCTTATCTCAACTCCTTCTTTACTTTGTATGTTGCTCTCTTGTGGTAACGCCTCTAATCTTCTGCACTTGTATGACCTAATTGTGTTGCAGATGCGGTAAAACGCTTACTAAAAATAAACTAAAGAAAAGATCGCTTTAAATATTGGTGACATGAAGACTTCTTTCCCCTCAGTTGGTGGTTAGATGGTGCTCTGGTGTGGTTTGCTCCTTTTTCCTATTAAACATCTATCGTCCTTAACTCTCCTTTTTTATGTTTGTTACTCTCTTGTAGCGCCTCTGATCTTCGGCACTTATAAGACTTAATTGTGTTGCAATTGCTGCAAAACTTTCACAAAAGAGAGAAAGAAAGAAAGAGGAAAACGAGAAGATACCCGGTTGATTCAGACCGACTTGGTCGTGGCATCCGTCCATCGACCCATCCATATCATCCGTCCGTCCATATCATCCGTCCATCGACCCATCCATATCATCCGTCCGTCCATATCATCCGTCCATCCATCCATCCATATCATCCGTCCGTCCGTCCATCCATCCATCCATACATCCATCCATCCATCCATCCATCCATCCATCTATCAATCCATCCTTCCATCCGTCCATCCATCCATCCATCCGTCCATCCATCCATCCTTCCATCCATCCTTCCATCCTTCCATCCATCCATCCATCCATCCATCCGTCCGTCCATCCATCCATCCATCAATCCGTCCGTCCGTCCATCCATCCATCCATCCATCCATCCATCCATCCATCCATCCATCCTTCCAAACATCTATCCATCCTTCAGTCCATATGTTGTATCGTAAGTTGGGTGAGTATGGGGAGGGGATGATGGGGTCGAGGGAGGGGAAAAGGATGGGGGGGGGTAAGTTGTGGGCTTTGTAGTCCAGTGTTACTGGTAAGATGATGATCGTGGAGGGGAATAAAGAGCGCTCCACATGAGCCGTGACTGGGGGCCCGATGTGGGTCCGGGTCGATAGTCGGGCCTTCGATCTGCGGCCTGGTCCGATCAGTGACTGCAACAGATGGTGTTGGGATACTGAGACTTGGCGACACTTCTTGTGAGGCG